AAAAAAAAAAAAAAAAAAATTGATTCATTATAATGCTATTATAACACTTTTTGTGTTGCTGGAACTGGGCCCAGGCCTTGTGCCTGCTAGGCAAGTGCTCTATCTCATTACCACACTTATTAAATAATACTTTCAGGGGCTGGTGAGATGGCTCAGTGGTCTAAAGCACCTACTTGAAGCAGGCTTGGCAAAGCACAGGGACCGCGGTTCAATCCCCCAGCACCACATACCAGCCAGCCCTGCCCCCGGTGGGCTGAGCTGGCCACACACACACAAATAAATAAATAAAAATTAAAAAAAAAAAAAAGTGATACTTTCAAACAAACAAACAAAAAATAGTATTTTCTTTTTTTTCTTTTGGCAGAACTGGGGATTTAACTCAGGCCCTTGCGCTTGCCAGGGAAGCGCTTATTCCACTGAGCCATCTCCCCAGCTCCAAAAATAGTATTTTCTTAGTATTATCTGGACCATAATTTTTTTCTCAAAGGTGGCTTTTTATAGTTAGGCTTGAGTCAGGATACAAACATTCACATATTATAATACTTTATGTCTCTTGAAAAGCATGGTGGGAGGGCCTCTCACCCCTTGGGCTGCTGGGGATCCCACTGCTCCTCAGCCAGGGCTGGAGGCCAAGATCAGCCCTGGAGGAGCATCGTCAGAGCTGCTGTGAGTGGGCAGCCTTGTTTTCCTGCCTCCGACAAGTGTGGTGGCTGGAAACTTGGTATGGCAGGCATGCCGAGCCCTGAGGAGGTCCTGCTGCCTTGGGCCTAGCTTCTAGCCCAGGCCACCCCTGGTAGGTGGGACACATACACACTGGCCACGAGGGTGCTGCACGGGCTGGCACGGCTGGGCATGGTGAGAAGCCGAGAGTGGGTGCTAGAGAAAAAGGCCGGCGGCAAGGCAAGGAAGTCTGGCCTGATACCCAGTACACACCAGCCGCAAGTGCAGGCCCTGCTTCTGATTCGCACATCTGCCCCCGCCACTGACAATGTGGTGCTTCAGAAGCCTTCTACAGTTCTAAGAATATTTTTTCTAAAAAAGTTTCCAAGAGTTTGTTATTTTACTCTAAAATAAAAGCAAAAAGACACACACACACACACACACACACACACACACAAAACAGAAAAGCATGGTGGGGGTATAGCTCAAAGCCAGAATGCATGCTCAGTACATACAAAGCCCTGGGTTCAATCTCGAGCACCTTAAAAAAAAGGCAAGTCTCTTTTCCCCTTCTTCCTCACATTAACTTGTAAAAACAAACTAGGTCAACAGTTACTACAAAATGTTGCACATCCTGGGTTAGAGTATTTGCTTTCATGGAAGGTGCTTTAGCTTAGTCTTCTAAGCCCTGCATTTGTAGTCAACTTTTTGGGTGACAATATTTGGGTGGTTCTCTGGGCTTTACGTGTCCACTCACCTGGAGGCAAACAATGATTGGCTGTCTCATTTTCAGTAATGAATGGATCTAGGCTTTTTTTTAAATTTATTTATTTATTTATTATTTGTGTGTGTGTGTGTGTGTGTGTGTGTGTGGCCAGCTCAGCCCACCAGGGGGCGGGGCTGGCTGGCATGTGGTGCTGGGGGATTGAACTGCGGTCCCTGTGCTTTGCCAAGCTTGTTCCAAGTATAGGTGCTTTAGACCACTGAGCCATCTCACCAGCCCCAGATCTAGGCTTTTTAAAGCTTTCCCGAGACCTTTCATTTAGTGGTCTCATCATCCAGGGGTTGTTGTCTAAATAATTTCACTGGGAGATACAAAATGGCAATTATTCTATCCTTTCTACATTTTGCTATTAATCTTTTATGAAGAAGTACTTCTCTCGTCAGTCACTCTGAACTATAGCTCATACTGGAAAAGCAGAAAAATGTTTCTTTGCTTTTGTCATTTTTTGGAATTGGTCACTAGTTACTTCTGGTGGTTTACATGAGTAGTTGTTAATTTTTTGGCTTTTTAAAAAATCTCTATGAGGGTTAGGGAGATAGCTCAGTGGCATAAGTGCTTGCCTAGCAAGTGCAAGGCCCCAAGTTCAATCCCTGGTACTGCAAGGAAGGAAAAAAAAAAGAATAAAAAATAAATAAAAGATCATTATGAACTCAGCTTTTTATGTTGATTATACCAGTCATCAAAATTAAGAGTCAGCTTTATACTTAGAGGATAAGTGGTAGAGATTGGAGGCGGAGAAACAGGTCAGTTAAAAGATTGCTTTTGGGGGCCTAGAGTTACAGCT